TTCGGTCACAAACGTTCTGTGCAATTCCTTTTTTCTGTCTCGGCACCTTTTTGTTCCTGCTGCTTCTTTTGTGTTTTTTCCCGTCGTGTCGTCTCAGCTTTCCCACCGGCTCGGTCTCTTCCATTCTTCTTCTTCTTCTCTACGTTGTTAACGGTTCAATTAGTCACTAAAAGGCTCTTTCACTGTCAGCATGTGCACTAGACGTTGACATTTAGTCATTTGGATTGTACAATTGTACTTCTGTGAGTTCTCTTCTTTTATTTTATTTTATTTTTCATTCAACTAAATGTCAAAAAAAAAAAGAAAAAAAAAAAAGGTTCTTCATCTGTTTTTACTCTGCTGCCTTTTTTTTTTTTGTTGTTGCAAAAACACGTTTGTGCCAATTCTGTAGTTTTCATTACATAGTTTTCCTGAAGGGGGAAATATTTTACGTTGACTTTTGTAATGTATGCGTTCATCCAAATACGGCTTCGGTGTATATGAGTAGAGTCGTGGCAGTTCAGTAACCCCGTGGCACTGTTTACTACGATGTTTGGATAATTTAATAAAACTACGCCTTTGGTGAAACCCGGCCTCTCTGGTAACTTCACTTTTCAGGACAATGAAGACACAAGAGGTTAGAATATATAACAAGAGTTTATTTTTAAAAGTTTACTTTCATATTGTACGTTCCAAAGGTGCTAATGCTTTCCTTGTGATTATACAGGGAGAGTAATATGCATTATTATTATAATAGGTGTTTCCATAAATGAATGCCTGTATATAAAGTATATAATTTAATCATTTCATCCATCAAAATATCGTTTTATTCGTACATGTGCGATGCATTGATAAATAAACCAGAACAAACTGTCTTTATACACGTTGAATTAAAGGAGTGGAGGAAGAAATGTACACAACACGAGCTGATGACCTGGACGGAGCCCCGACCCGTGAAGCTGCTTTAAACCGTTTAGAAATGCTTTGTAGAATCTTAAATGAAACATAAATTATTATTACCACAAGTGCTTGATGCATACGGAGACCCAAAGTGCTCAAAACTGAACGTAGAATTGATAAAGACACAAATAAATGCAGACAAGAGCATATAATAAGACTATAAAACTAAAATCTATCTATCTATACACGGTTGAATGCTCACTAGGGTTGTGGGGGGCTGGAGTCTATCCCAGCTGACTCAGGGTGAAGGCAGGTTCACCTGGACAGGTAACCAGTCTATCACAGGGCTACACTTAGAGACAGACAACCAAGCACACTCACATTCACACCTACGGACAATTTAGAATCACCAATTAACCTCAACATGTTTCTGGACTGTGGGAGGAAGCCGGAGAACCCGGAGAGAACCCACGCTGCACGGGGAGAACATGGAGACTCCACGCAGAAAGATTCCGGGTGTCCTCACTGGGACATGAATCGGCGATCTTCTAGCTACGAGGCAACGGTACTAACCACCGAGCCACCGTGCAGCCCCATAAAAATTAATCCAACAGATCACAATGGAAATTTACATTTTAAAGAAAAATTAACTGTAGATTTTTTTATATCCCTCTGGTAGGTTTAATGCGATTAAAAAAATAAATTTTAAATGCTTTTTAAAAAATTTCCATTAAAGTGCAATGTTTTAATTATTATTTTATGACTTATTAAGATTAAAATTCACCTGTAGTGAATCTTTGTCATTCAAGACGAACATGGAAGAACCAAAACTGAATGAGTGCTAATGTTCACAACAAAAAATAACAACAAAAATGCATGTACTATTTTTTTTCTGCATTTATAATTATTAATATATCCCTTATATATATATACATGTTTTTGTTGTTGTTGTTTTTAAATTTTGAACACTTTGGGTCACCACATATAAAGAACTGGGAGCAGAGCTGTGCAAAAGTAATTTTTTAAATCAATTACTTCACATCTGTTTAAATGCAAAAGCAGGACCAATGAATCAGAGACGCTCTGCAAACATTAAAACTCTAAATAACTGCAAACAGTTTGCAGCAGGTTGTGAAAACGTTCATTTACAAGCACGATGAACGTCGGACACTAAAGAAAAAGCACAACAGCAGCTTCATAGGTCGGGGTCGTCGCCGTGGTTACCAGCGTGTTTCTAATGTGTAGAAGTTGTAATTACAAAATTTCTACGGAGTATAAACGATTAGCCGGTTATAGCAGCGTGTCGCAAGCTCGAGTACGTTTGGAGGAACCGAGCGTCCGACCGTCTGCTCGAGCGCTGCACACTGACTCGTTCTAGGCGAAGAAGAAAGCATCTGGTGTAGAATACATACTGATTATATACATGTCGCTTTTTGTCGAGGTTGCAGTGCATTGTAGAAATATTGCAAGGAAACTTCGTGATATAGTTCGTCGTTATACGTTAGTGGGAGGAAAAGAAAAGCACTTTCATGCATACAAATGAGAACGGCATTCAGAAAACAAACAGATGTGGAGGGTCTAACATGCGATACGCCTCACTCTGGTCCTCAGGAGCATGCTCAGTTCACCTGAGAAGGGACAGCAGCAGGTTCTACAAAAAGAAGACCGTCACCAGGCGTCCTACCTCGATGCACTACAGAATGACGCACGCAGGAGAAGTTCAGCTTTTGAAGCCAGCGATTTTAAGATTTCTTTAGAAAAATATCTTTTTTTTTTTTTTTCTTTTTCAGTTCAGTTCAGGCTCAACACATCTACAGTTTCTTGAAATGCAAAAAAAGGCCTAACAGCCGCGTAAGAAAAGCCTAGAGTCACCAGACATCATGTTTCTACAGCTCTGTGGACGCAGGAGACGGAGCATGTGTTGGTGGTTTACGCTGGAACAATACTGGCCTGAACAATAATTCCCGCAGCCTCTCAGGGAAACTATTACAAGGACGCCGGCTTTATGGAGTTATGGAAACAGATAAAGAGGACCGAGGCTCGTCTCACATGCGCCAGATGGGACGGTCTGACGGACTCGTGTGCGCTTCTAATCAGCAGCATTAGCACTAAAACCACAAGTGACAACACGCTGATGTTCAGCAGATAGAACGTCCTTCCAGGCAAATCTCATTTCTCAGCAGCAGCAGCAGCCCCAGACGGTTATCTCAGACCAACCAGACCAGCGTCTAAAACTGATAGATAGGACAGAAAACCTGCATGTACAGAACCACCAGCTGATGAAAGCTGCTGAACAAGTTTGTTGACTTAAACAAGGTTTAAAAAAAGGATTTTTATACTTCTGCTGCTTTCATGACACCACCTGGATTCTGTTTCCTGGTTCGACAGACGATTGGCTGTTTAGGGGGGAAGGAAAGGCGGGACGTGGATCCTACAACCACCATCCGTACCGCCCCACAGATTTCTTTAAGTGGTGAGTCTCTCCCTTAGAACATCTTCCTTTAGCATGTTGACGTGCTACGTGCTAAAGCAGCTGAGGCTGATGGGAACGTCGTTAGTAGCTTTGCAGCAATAGTGGTCAAAAATCAACCCAACTTCAGTTTTTGTTTTTGTGGCCACACTCTGAGAAATAAAGGTTCCAAAAGTGGTTCTCCATAGCGGCGCCATTTTATCTCCGTTTAGCAGAACGTTCTTTAAATAATCCCCCCAAAATGGTTCCTTTAGGCTCCATAAATGATGTCCCAAAGAACCTCTGGCCTCTTTATGGAGCCACTTGGTTCTATTTTGATAATAAAACTTAATAATCGTAATTCAAATGTAAGAATCTGCAGCATTTCTGAGTTCCTTCCATTTATATTTTGGGTTCTTGGTCAGACAGACGAACATGTTCCAAGACGCCGGCTTGGGATGTAAAAGTTTGGATGTTTTATTGACCAAAGGATTAACGTTAATGAAAATAATTGTTGGTCTGATTTCATGCTGCCACCAAACCAAATAACTCCAGTTAAAAGTTATGAGAACCACCTAAAACATCCTCCAGTTTAGAACCGTTACTGTTCCGAGACCATCGTCAACCTTTTAATATTTAAGAAGCAGCAGCCGGACCAACACCAGCAGCCTGTCTAAAGATAACTTACTTTAGTAATTTAATGATAATCAGATGTTGAGCCAGATACCAACCACTGGATTCCATCCATTATATTCAGTCGCTGTCAAACTCTGCTTTTATCGTCGTCCAGTATCTCAGAGTGAATTCATTTGTCGCCGTCGGCCTCCCTCAGTGCTGATTAGTGCTGATATGCACATATGTGCTGCGTCTCTCTGGACGCCTCCTTGATCTATTAAACATCACGACCGGCCACAACAAAGCTTCTGTTATAACATCCGTCTTTCTCAGCCTGAAATCGTCTGTTAACGGTTGGACAGCAGCTACAGCTTCCTGCCGAGTTTCAACTGAGGTCAAAGACATATTTTTATAAAACGTGAAGGCTACACTTTTCTTTTCTTTTCCCAGAATCACCGAGCGTGTTCGTCTTTTACAGAGGAGTGCATTTGTTTTTGTTCTCTCTCGCAGGCTTCCCTGATGAAACGCTGCTTCTCTTCCAGACCGTGACGTCCGGGCCGTACAGTTGGGAAGATGAATGGCTCTCGTACTGGTTTCTGGTCCCCCCTGATAGCATTCTCTCCAAAACACAGAATCAACACTTCCCTTCGGTCCAACGAGGCAGACGGGGACGCGGTGACAATTCAGGATGGTAACATAAAACATGACCTTTTGCATAGGAGCTGACGATAAAAAAAAAAAAAAAAACCCTTTTTGCAGCACTGTGGACACGCCTGATAAACACCAAAGTGTGCTGAGCTCTACAGTCCGGCAGATTATCTATCATTTACTCACAGCGAGGAACGCCGTGGTCACCTTCAAAACTAGCGGTGAGAGAAGCTGTCAGCTAAATGTTTAAGGAAAAGCTTTCGTGGTCTGAGGTGGAGATTTATGTGGAGTTTTATACAATCATATCTGATGCATAACGATCTTCCAAACGGCGTAAATCGAAGTTCGCAGGTGGTGAAACAAATCAACAGCGTTCTTCAAATCTGTTCTGCCCGAGCTTATGTAAGTATTTAAATCACGGCAGACTGATTTAATTAAACGAACGAGCTTCGCCGTCTGTGGAGAAGCAGCGAGACGCAAATGACGGGAAAAACACACCGAGCTGCTGCCACATCTTCTACCTGTGATGTCATTACACTGCATTACAATAAACACAGTCAGCAAAAATTAGGCTACGACGTGCCCGTCCGCCGGCTTCTGGAGTCGCCCCCAGAAGTCTGTGGACGAAGATGAAAGGGATATTTTTAGACAACAAACTTTGTGTGAAACCGCTAATGAAGGTTTCGCAGATCGATGCCGCCGTTAGGCCGTTAGCGTGTGATTCCACAAGCGGTCGGCGTAAAGGGAAGAAGCTCGGAGCCGAGACCAAAAAACAAACAAAGCAAAAAAAATTAATGGCTCAGAAAGCTTTCAAGTTCCGAAGACAACAGTTATTTAAAGAAATCGAGTCTGAAAATGGCTTCGTGGTTTTCTCTTCTTCTTTTTTTTTTTTTTCTTTTTTGTGTGTTGCCATAAAAATAGTATAAATGAATATTGTTGGTCGCATGCATCGGAGTAAGGCTTTACAACCTGGCTTGCACATTCCACTTGAGGAAGGTATCTGTTTGTCTGAAGTGCAAAGGGAGAAAAACTTCTAAAAGTATGTTGATCTTTAAACAAGAATCCGTTCATGAAAAATGCTTATTCATGCAGTGTTCTCCGTCGAAGGAGGATGAAAAACAAGCCAGGAACAGAATCTGGAGCTCCAGGTTGAAGTCTTTATCGGTCAAGACGAATCCGTCCTCCAGGAGCGGAGAGACAATGTCGACGCAAACACTCAGTTCTTCTCTCAGAACCTCGTCTTTTTTTTTTTTTTTTGTTCCCTGTGCAAACGGCTTGTGAGGTTCCCTCCGCGAGACTCTTTAAAAGCGTCCGTCTCTCCTGGCTCAGCTCTGTTCCACTGGATGAGTCAGTTTTTAATTGATGTGTTCTCTAAGGCATTGCTCGTACAATCTTTGCCCGTCCTTGTGCTCTTCAGGGAAATCACAAATTGCAGTGCAAATCCATCACAGAGCAGTCACTTCAAACCCTTGGAAGAACCTGTCCCCAGAACTGCTCCAAGGTACTTGGGCGAGAAAAATATAACAGCTTTGACAACTGTAGTTAATTTGGACGTGCATAAAAACACACTACCGTCGCTAACGTACGCCGATCCGCTCTGACGTGTGCACTTTGGGCTTTTGGCTGTTGGGTAGAAATCAGAGAGTGAGCGAGAAGGGGGAGATGCTGTCATTCGCTGCCTCCCGATCCTCAAATGTCCAAGTTAAAGGCTCGCATGAGGAGGTCCAGGTCGCCGATGTTCGCAGCCTGGAAGAGCTCCGGCTGGTCCATCATGGATAAAGCTATCCTCAAGGCGGCCCAGATGTTTCCGGACATCACCTGGTGGGACTGCTGCCGACTCCGGCTCTTCCTCTGGAGACTTAAGGCGGTCAGGAAGTTGCTGGCCGCCTCTCTGTGGGAGCAACAATAAAAAACTGTCAGTCTGGTTAGAAGAAAATTTGGAGATTCCTTCTGTTTTTGTAGTTACACTGATAAATGCTGCGAGTTTGGCACATTTTTTAAACCCAGCCTGCAGTTCAGCTGAAAACTCTGATTTTTTGTTGCGTGGCTGTTGGATGCAGATGCAACCGTGGAGCTTCATCACTCCATGGTTGCATCCGTCCTGACCTTTGCCATCATCTCCCGGTTTAGCAAATAAAAATGCAGTTTCCACTCTACGAAATATACAGGAATCATTCATCATTCTGCCAGGAAGAGAATAAACAGATTCAATTTATTTCTGCGGCAGCGATTCACAACACATGTCAAGGTGAAGAGCTTTTTAAGCAGCGAAACCCAACACATCCAAGGTTTCCTTTCAGTTTCCTTTGTGCGCGCACTCGGTGACAGTGGGAAGGAACAAACAACAACAACAACTCCTGTTTACCGTGAAGGATAAATAAATAAATAAGCAACCTTCAGACAGAACCAGGCTGAGGGAGCCCAGCGATCTGCATCTGACTGATTAAATCCTGTTCAGAAAAGTTTGCAAAAGCTCCCCATAAATAAAAAAAAAGACCTGGTCAAGGATTTTTTAAAAAGAAATCTGGGTTTGTGATCCCGGACGAGCCCCCAAGAAATCTCGTGGAAGATACCGCCATGGCTTTAAATCATAAAACAATACTTTGCTGTGTTGTTGGTGAATTTATTCAAAAACAAGAAGAGCTTATTTATAACATGACAGGACTCGTTGTGAATGGACTCTTATTGTTATTGACCGAATGCAAAACTTAAACACCAAGTAAGAAAGTCAACAAAACAGCTCCTGACAGATGTAAAGACGTCGACCTGGAAGAACCTGGAGGATAGTTTAAGGCTCCAGGTTCCCATAAGTCAAGAAAAAAACCTGTTTCCATTCCTCCAAGGACCTGGAATCAGTGCTTTTAACCCTAAATATGCACGACACACATCAGTTAAACCAGCATTCAACTGGTAAACAAACAAGCGTTTACAACTGAATCTTACTTTCATGCTGGTTTGCATGTAAACGCAGCAGCTCACCAACTAGTCCTGTGTTTGTTACAAGGATTCTAGCAACACCTTGAAAAGGCGATTAATGCTGACTCCATGTTGAGTTCATCTTCTTTAGCTTTTCATACAGATACTCTCGTTATCTCATTAATACCAGCTCTGCTAAGTTATACTTTTAAACCGAACAGAGGCCTGATCTAACAAAATAACTGGAAACTTAAATTTGCAAAATGTAAAATATACTTTTAATTTTCCACTGTAGCATCACCAAATAGATTTATTTCTTTTTTATTGTCTGGGGTTAAAAAAAAAGTTCCTCTGCTGCCTTAAAAATGTGAGTTCCCGTCACTTCAGTGATTAATTGCTTCAAATTCGTGTGAAACTAGCCGAGTTTAAATTAATTCAACATCAGAAAACGAGCTCAAGATACTCACGATAAAGTTAATTCAACATAGACAAAGGCTGAAGACGGTTTCCTTTTACAGTGTTACTGAGTTTAACGAGTTTCTTTGTCATTTATCACTCGCTGAATGAATTGAACCTTTGTAAAGGCCAGAAGGTTTTAAAAAAAATAATAAAAAATTCTGATTAAAAACAACCAGAATTTGATTTAACAAAGACACACAGCAAGTTTTCCACCATCTGATTTCTCAAACCGCAAAAACTAAGAGTCTCTGGGAGTTTTAACTGCTTATATGCTCATTTTGTTCCTTAAAAACTTTAATAATGAGTTGTGTGAACTCTCAGCTGCTCATTTATTTAGTTCATCATTTTAAGCCAAAACGACTAAAGTTCTCGATAAGACCTCTTGTTTTTAGGTTCTAAAGTAGCCCAAGAATAAAAACGAGATATTTTCACTTCACTAGAAATAAGCAAAACTTCTATATTGACATCCAGTAAACTGGAAAACATGAGCAGGTTGGACTGAATTCCTTCATGATGCAGAACATTTCTGTTTTTTTGGTGATCGAGTCGCTTCCTAAAAGCCGCTGCAGCGCTGTAAACATTTACATAATTAACTCAATCTGTGGGATTTGTTTCTATGTTTCCATACATCTGCTCTTATTCAGGTCATTTCTGGATTTCAAGGCTCCAGTTGTTCATTTATTAATTCCTGTGTTGCTTCATTCTGTTTTATTTATTTATATGTTTCTGTTCCTGCTGGAATCAACGATTAACGCCCAGAAGTACAGGATAGAAATTAATTCAAGCCGTTAATTTAATTTAATTCAATACCAAAATGTCTTTTTATAAAATTCATTCACACAGTTAATTATTTCTTCCTTTATATTTAATTTATACGTTTTGTCCTCCGCTGTGCAGCTTAATGACCGTGACCAACAGGCTCTCTGCATGAGGTTTAATTTTTGATTTAATTCGACGGGAGTAGCATCGGATCGAGACGTCTGAAATCCAAATATTCACTGGACGGATGTGATCTGATAAATCTGATGTCATATCGAAGGAATAAATATGTTTGCGTCCCGAGAGACACGAGTTCATCCAAAGTTGTCAGTTGTTAGCCTGAACCGTTACTGCAGCCCTGAAGGTGTTGGTTTGTCTTCTATGAGGATTAATTACGCGCCCTCAGGATGCTGAGGATCGCTGCTTCTCTCCACCCAGCTGAGTGTTTGCTTTTTCTTTTGCTAACATCATTTGTCCACAATGTTTTTACAGACTTTAGACAAGTTGCAGCATCCAGATGTGCACACTGAATGCACATTTGAATATTTATGCAATCGTTTATTTCACATTTTTCATTAATTGGCATGACTTTGTAGAAATCTGTTTTCACTTTGACATGAAAGAGTCTTTCTTGTTTAAAAAGCCAAATTAAATGGGCCATGATTTAATATTAAAAAGCATTAAATTGGGGAAGGTTTATGTAGTTGCTGTAGTAATCCAGTTCCATTGGTCGGGCCTGGCTATGTCTTGGTGTCTGCAGCTTTGAAGCCCCTCGTGCATCAGTATTAGCTTAAATGCTAACATTCTGGATGTTGTCTGTGCAGATTCTCAGTCTTCCAGGTCAATATTCATCCTCAGAGCTTCAGTAAAAGTTATCTGGACTTGACTTTTTGGTTGCTGAACTGAAATAAAACCAAAACCAGAAGTCCAGGTGCGTTTCCCTGAAGCTCTTTTGCTTGTTGTCTGGCTGCGATCCCATCGTCCTGTTCGTTAATGTAGTTGTGAAGTATGAACACTCATGTTTGGGCATCTCGGCCGCCTCGGGCTGAACTCATATGTGTGTGCTGATAATCATCTGCTCGCCACACCAGATAAATAATTCATAAGATTCATTTTGTGATTTAAATTAGAGCTGCAGCGATAAGTCGATCAACAGGAGTTTAATCAACCGCAGTTTTAATAACAGCCAAATTGTTTCTGTCATTTTTCAAGCAAACATTCTGGTTTGCAGCCTCTTCAGCGCAGAGTTCAGGCTTTTCTTCACCACGCGTGATAAGATCAGATCAGATCGCAGCATCTACATTCCAAACGTTGCATAGTCTCACTTTATTTGCTGACCTTTGTGACCTTTTTTCTTTTAATTAATTCCACTTGGCAGCATCCGATTGGAGCTGGAATGCTGCTTCGTTCTCCTCCTACAGCTCCGGCTCGCTCACCTGTGTGCCCCCAGGTTGATGCAGCTGATGCCCAGGTTGTAGCGGGACCTGATGAAGCCCGGCTGCAGCTCCAGGGCTCGAGTGTAGGCCTCCACCGCCTCCTCGCTCCGGTCGCCGTTGGCCAGCGTGGCCCCGAGGCGGTTCCACAGCAGGTAGTCCTGGACGGAGGAGGGTCGAGAGGGTAGAGGAGCATTAACAGGTTTTTAAGTTCATTATTCGAGAGTTAAGTTGTTCCAACTAGTATTGCTATGTTTTATTTTGTGCTGATTTATGACACCAGAGTAACTAATGTGTCGTACAACATGTCCTGTTGGTATTTTTACTCAAATACATCCTCGAAGATGAGCAAACAAACTGTCATGTGCTGCACAAGTTACACAACCTAAAGTATTAAGATTTTTATCATATTATTACACATTTTCAAGCTTTTATAATATGCTGTATGTTGTAGTTCACCTTAATCTTTTTGAGTTCAGACAACTTCTCATGAAATTATGTTGAAACAACAAACTCAGTCAACAGAGCTGGATTTCTGTCCATTACAAAAGGTATATTTACTTAATATTTGGGAGCATAAGTAAAATTTTTAAGTCAATAACTCAAAAGTAGTCAACAAAAGTAGTAGGGAGGTAAATGGAGGATTTTATAAACAGTGTTCTTCTGCTTTTATTTAAAAAACAACAACAAAAAAACAATTTTTAAGTGTTTTGTACCTAACTACAGTAGTCATTCATTTGAGTTGGTGAAATTTTAAAAACTTGGTTATTTCAGTGTTTGGTAGGTAGAAATCCTGATCTCCAGTTGAAGAAAAATCAAGTTATTAAGCCAATTTCATGAAGTTACTTCAATTTAAACATAGTTTTAAATCAACAAATGCAGAAATTTTGGTCTAAATTACTCGTAATATGAAGTTGATGCAGCATTATTATGTCAACAGAGTTCATCCAAATGAAGTGTGCACCTTATTTAGCTAAATAAGACAATCATGTGTTGTATCTTGCAGCATATTTCCGAGGTGTGACTGGAGCTATTAAACCACTTCTCAGGGTGTAAAGTCAATGAAAGCTTTGTGTTTCTGCGCTGTGAGCTGCTGTCAGCCTGAATAATGTGACCTGCCTGTTTATTTCTGGCTTTATTTAATTAGTAAACACACTGAAGAGTCGCTTCTTGTCATTTAGCCTCATTTAAATCTCGTCAGCGGCACCTCTTCAATTATTAAGTGATTACTCGAGTCTCCAACGCTTCCCACCTCCGAAAGAGCCGAGAAAGTGGCTAACAGCGTGTTTGACAGGCGAACCAGAGGTGAGTAATCTGTGCAACACGCCGCCGTGCATCCGCCTGCGACAGCGTGACAAAGCGGCCTCGGTCGGATCAGCCAAGCTGTAATTTACTGCGTTTTTGAAGCCCAAATAATAAGGAAGCGCTTCGGGACGCGACGCTGAAAAGCGGCCCAACAAGGGTAATTTGAGGGGAGCTGCGTTACATCACACGCCGTGTCCTTGCCGCTGTTTCCCACCTGCAGGTAGACGAGCGCACACAGAGGTCACGGTCCTCTACAGTACGGGGGTCCTTCATCTCCGGCTAAGCCCAGCAGCAAGGATATAATTATCTCCCTTTGTGTTCGGAGCTGTTTTTCCGGCAGGGGAGCGGACATTACCAAGTCAAATGCGGGAGGTTGGATTTAACAGTGAGTAATATTCATGGGACAGCGCTGGGAGGACGGGGACTGATTTGCATGAAGGAGACGGAAAGAAAAGTTGCATTTGTAGAGATGCGTGCTGTGTTTTCAGTTTCCTACATAGATGTTGGGTTCCGCTCCCGCTGCATCACGATCGGCAGCGTATGTGTGCCGGTCGAGAGTTCACGAGGCCAGATTTGGCAGCTCGACGCTTCGCATATTGCTGTGACAGTTTGCTGTGTGCCTCGCTGCATCTGTTTGCATGAGCTCTCCCCTGGTATTTGTGGCTCCATCTCGCCCTGTTCGCAGCACATGCTTCGGGGCTTCATGTTGCCGCTCCGAGTGTTTTGCACGACAACATGTGCTGCGCGGAAGATCGCTGCGTTTACAGTACGAGCACGTAATGTGGAAATCAAATCTATTTATAGGGCCCGAGCACTGACGATGCAAGGAGCCTATACGAATACCTCTGACTGGTAAAATGAAACATTTAGAGGACCTAAACACGATCAGAAACTCACCAAAATTTGCACGTACATCCAAAATAATTATATATTTTAGGGGTCTTGAGCTTGTGAGAGGCAAAATGGCTCCATCAATGGAGTAGTGCCAACACCTACGAGATTCGGTAGTTCTATGTATCAGGTCAGAATGCACAATAAAGCCCAACAGGAAGTCCACCATTTTGAATAAACGTAAAGATTTGGGGGCGATTTTTGCTCATTTTCAAAATCTGTCTCCTCCCAATCTATCGTCCCGGCAACAGGAGAGCACATGCTTTACACTTTGATGTACTGTTGTTAGCTGGTTGACCCTATTCACCTCAAATGCGGTGACGTGAGCCTCAAGACGTCGACGATGACTCACGAGGAGAATTTAGAGTTATCGTCAAAAGGCGCGTCCATGGCGGTGTGACGAATTGTGACATCTCGCCATGACAACTGAAGAGTATCTACCTCAGCTGCACATGATCCAATCTACCACAAATTTTGTACACTAGACAAGAGTCCGGGTCTGAGTCATCGGCATAGCGCCACCTACTGGTAACAGGAAGTTATAGCATTACATTAGCGTGGAGCATTGCAAGAAACTTTGTGATATAATCCTTGAATTGGTCAGCCAAGCTAAGCTAAGCGAAGTCCTAACACCTCAAAGTTTGAGGAAGTGCAAGGGCCCATTCAGTGCTGCCTGATTATATTTAATCTTACACTATGAGTCTGTAGATTTGCAAACCATAGCTCATATCCAGCCCTTTTTTTGTATTATATTATAGTTGATTAAAGCATTACATAGAGTGGGAGTCACTCTTTTTCCTTTACAAATGATCAGATAATTATCAGTCTAACTACATAAATGTGGAGGCCAATATGTTGTTACTACACTAGTTGGTCGCTAACAGTTACACGACTACATTGAGGGTTAATGACATTTTACGTAGGTGATATTTGATACAGCACACTACGATAAACACCCACCAGCCTGTCAACTGTCAACATCGCCGGCTTCCTACGAGGCGGAAAACAAACAGCAACAGTCCTGCAGAAGCATCATCTGCGAGTGTGTGAATGAACCTCCGATCAGCCGTAAATAGTGTTTCATGAAAGGCTCAGAGTTTACATCACTGGCCTCGTGCAGCGCCAGCTGGAGTCAGCCAGCTGTCAGACATGTTGACTCTGCGAGGAAACCAGAGCGTCCCATGTGTTCGGCTCACCGTCGGCCTGTCAGGAGCTTTGTGCCGCCGACGCGAAACACAAGTGGCGGCAGGATTCTCTACATGTACAGTAGATACAGTAATTAAAAACCTCAGTGGTGTGTGAGGCAAGTATTCTGAGACGTAGCCAGGTCCAAGCAATGAAAGTACATTACTGTAGCGCCTATAAAACTCTTCACCGACTTTGGAAGTTTATTTGGTATCCAGATGTGCAAATCCTGGATGCTGTAGCTGCAGCCAAAGGTGCATCGACTAAACACGGACTTAAAGAAGGTCAGTACTCATGCAATCACTTATTTTACATTTTTAATTAATTAATAATGTGTAGAAATGTGTTTTCACTTTGACATGAAGGAGTCTTTCCTGTCTGTTGGACTCTGGTGAGAGGATACGCAGCCTTCGGAGCAGAACAGCCAGATTTCTTAACAGCTTCTTCCATCACAAAATAAGACTGTTGAACTCAAAATAACCCTCCAGTGCTGCTCTGATTCACTGTACAATAAAACATTACAACAACAATATACTGTAAATATTGTATTTTATGTAGGTTTTATTCAGAGTTTCATATATTTTCTATCATTCCCACCTTTTTTTTTAAACCTATTTATAATTTTTTTTACATATATATTCCCTGTTTTGTCCCTTTGTTTTTGACCCTACTGCAGCATAATTTCATTCTGATGTGCACTGTGCTGTGTAAATCTGCATAACAAATAAAGAGAGTTTACAAGTAAAAAAATAAATAAAAAAGCCAAATTAAATGGGACATAATTCAGTGTTAAAAAGTAATAAAATGAGGAAACCCTTCTAGTTATCTGAGCAACGTTCTGTCCATTTTCTACCTCCTACCGGTTTGCATCTCTGACATCATTGTCAGTCACAATAATAAAATATTTATCAGGTTGTAGTTTGTTTGATCCACACATCATGAAGTCAACTAAATCAATGGACGTTTAGATGTAAACAACACCAACAAGATCATGTGCTATGCTTCATTTTTATGTGCTTTGTTAATGTAGTGAGTAATATTTCATTTTAATCTAATTTTTCAGGTCCAATATTTCATTATAAAGTGTGATATTACTTATTAGCTCAGTATATTCACTGGCATTACTATTTTACTGTTCTATTCTAGCCTCATTGTAGTTTAATTATCTTATTTCAGTAATTTGTTGTACTTATTTCTTATTGCTTTCTTATTTTTAAGCACTGCATTGTTATGTTAAGCCATTTAGTTTTTTTCTGAGCAATATCTGACACAAGAACTTCCTCTGGGATTAATAAAGTTGTCTTACATGGTGATAAAAGTCTAATTTTACATGTTGATGCTGTTGTTTGCATTCTGACCCCTTGTTCTTCCCACCTTCAACAGTAGTTTGTGTATCTGTGGCTCCATGTTGCCTAGTCTGCATGTTTGCGTTGCGGTTGCGTGTCTGTGGTTGTGTGTCGGCGGCGCTCCTACCTCGGGCCGCACCGACAGCGCCGTATTGAAGGCCTCCACAGCTTTGTTGAACTCTCCGCTGAGATTGTAAAGGACCCCGAGGCCCGTCTGCAGATCTGGGTCGACGCTGTCAGAGTTGTGCTGAACCGCCTCCAGGAAAAGCTCTCTGACCTCCGGTAGGATGGAGCTGCAGCACACATACATGTAGAGGAACACACACGTGTTAACGCACACACGGATCAGGATTAGTGTGACTTCAGGCTGCTGGGGGAGCTTTGATGTTCACTGTCCTGGATGTCAGCTTTTATTCAGAGAGCCAAAGGAAACGAGAGTGAAGGAGCAATAAAACACAAGAGTTTGTGTTTCTGTAAATCAAATCCAGCCTCTGTGAAGTAGTTGTATTAACTATAATAAGCATTATTTATAGAGTACTGTTCAAAGTTCACGTGACAAAGTGCTTCACAAAGCAGCAAAACAAAAGAGACGAGTGATAAAACCATCAGAATTTAAATATTAGATCAAAACCAACCTGGAGATCAAAAGCTACCGTCAGAAACCAGGTGAAAGTGTTACTGAGAGAAATTTAAACTTTAATAACATCAGAAAAGTCTCTGAATAAAGAATGTTTTGTAAAGAGACCGAAAAAAGAGGAAACATACTGGAAACCAGCATCAAGAGGCTGAAACATACTGGGAGCCAGTTTAAAGAGGCTGAAACATACTGGGAACCAGTATAAAAAGACTGAAACATACTGGGAACCAGCATCAAGATGCTGAAACATATTGAGAAACAGCATGAAGAGGCTGAAACATACTGGGAACCAGTTTAAGAGGCTACAGTATACTGGGAAACAGCATCAAAAAGTTAAAACATACTGGGTGCCAGTTCAAAGAGGCTAAAACACACTGGGAACCAACATGAAGAGGCTAAAACATACTGGGAGCCAATTCAGAGAGACTGAAACAAACTGGGAACCAGCATGAAGAGGCTTAAACATACTGGGAGCCAGTCTAAGAGGCTAAAATATACTGGGAAACAGCATCAAAAGGTTGAAACATACTGGGAGTCAGTTTATGAGGCTCAAACATACTTGGAACCAGCATCCAGATGCTGAAACATAGTGGGAACCAGTTTATAGGCTACAATATACTGGGAGTCATTTTAAATGGGCTGAAACATAATGGCAGCCAGTTTAAAGAGGCCAAAACATACTGGGGAGTCAGTGTCAAGGGGCTACAACATGATTTCTGTCTTTAAAAGTTAAGACAAACTGACTTTAAAAACATTTTAAGATGATAAAACATGATAGTACACGACTCAGACTAGAGTCAAACAAACACTGAGATTCTTTACAGCATGTTTTTCTGAATTCAACTGAAGAAAGTTACTCAACGCCCAGTTTTAACATCAGGAATGCAGCCAGTAAGGTCTGAGAATCTAACGAGAAGGTACACGTGTGAGTCATCAGCATAAAAATGCACAGAGATGCCATGTTTATCATTAAAAAGACAGAAAATAAAACTGGTCCCAGTACCAATATCTGTGGCACACCACAATGTAACAGAATAAAATGAGGATGTGTGGTTGTAACGTATCGTAGTGAGTGTAGAAATATTTCATAGCAGCTTGGAAGCTGTAGGGTTGGTTGTATTTTCTACCCTTTTTCCATTTTCTGGTCAGTCTGTTTCACCTCCGTCCGGCTAAACGCTGTTATCACCTGTCCTAAAACGACTCTACATCCCTCCCCGGATGCCAAACTCACAGTCCGAGAGCCGCTGCACAAAAGCAAAAAGATTAAAGAAATGACTGTCTGACAGCTACTTCTGCCTCAGTGGTCATTTGGTCCTTAGCTTTTGGGTAAAGATAAGCGTTGCCCTTTATGTTACGTCTTGGTTTCCACTAAGCCGGGCGTCACCGAGGCAGGGAGGCTACAGCGAAGTCGGCCGAGAAAAGAGAGAAAAAAGGGGGAAGAAATGCAGAGAGGCGAGTACAAAGAGGCCAAACAAAGAGCGATGATGTGTGCAGCAGAAATGAAAAGGACGATATTGCAGACTGGAGGGGAGACCACGGTAATTGGTTTGTACCTGAATCTACTTCACACTGACTAGACGATTAACGATTTGATAAAACGCTGCTTTACAGAACCGGGCCTCTTAAATCTGATACAGCCTCATTCATCGTGTGGCGTCGCCGACTTCCTGCCTCCTGCAGCAGAGAGACGGATCCACGTTTCACTGGCTGTGGTGAGTTCTCATCTCTCTGACAGTTTAAGTAGAACAAATGAGCCCGCAGAAGTGCTGCTAAAGATTTTGTTTCTGCAACATGCATCATATGTTTGTCAGCTACTCGATGCCTCGGAGTTGTTGGAGAAAGGCTGAGAAGGTGTCGCGACGTTTTTGGTTTGAAACTCTTTGCACAGACGGCTCCTTCGTCTTAATTTGACGACCGCAGATGATCGATTTTTGGCTTAGTTACCTTTGACGTCTTTATTATAATCAGCAGATGGCATAAATGTGACTGTTTCGGATTTTATAAAGGCGTCCAAACTCCCAAAGGCTGTGCTGTCAGTGTCGGTAGATAAAACAGGTCTTCCACAGCTTCCACATAGAGGCGTTTATGGGCCATAACATTAAAACCACCAACCTACACTGTAAAAAAAATATATTTTAGCAGCTTTTAACTATAAAATTTTAAATATTTTACTGCAATTTGACAGATTGGTTGGTGTGGTTGGTGAAATACAAAATATTATCTAGTAAGTAAATAATTAAATTTACATGTTAAGCCCCAAAAATGCAAAAACTGCAAAAAAACGAACTCATCCAATACATTTGATTGACTAATTTTTCTGTATTTAAATCAGAACACAGTATTGTAAGAAATAAACAATGAAAGATTAAGATGTTTTTTCAGTTATTTTACAGATTTGTTCCCCCATTTTGTTAAATTACAGACAATATCTACTAAAGTCACAGAAAAAAGTGTTAATTTAATTTATAATTTACACATTTAGAGTTTTAAAAAACCCCAAAACTGTAAATAATGTCCATATCTAACTTAATAATGTCCATATCTAACTTCTGTGTTTTCACAAGTTGTAGTTTAGTCTTTTACAATGTGAGACTGTAAAATTACAGTTTAACTGTATTTAAATCAGCTAAAAATACAATTATTTGCTGTTATTTTGACATTTTTTTCAGTTTTTGTCATTTTTTGATGACAAAAATGAATATTTGATTAATTGATTGATGCATATATTGAGAATTAATCTGCAGCTATTTTGTTAATTGATTACTTTAATCAGTTTTCAGTTATTCCGTGGTTGCAGTCAATGTGATTTACTGCTTTTCTCAGTGTTACATCGTTTTATACTGGATATGATAAAAAGAAGCATAAAGATGTAATTTTGAGTTTAGAGAAGCTGACATTGCTGATATTTTTCTGTTTATTAAAGTCATTTTAAACATTAGTTGATTAAATTGACACTTACATAAAGCTGCATTTTAAGGTGAACCATGAATTGACTCAGTTTAACTGTTTTCTAATTCAGAAAAGAGGATTATTTATATGCAGCATTTAAAGCTCTTGTTCAGTGTCACCAATAAGGTTTTATTTGCTGCACATTTCTTTGTTTTTCCTCAACAAGAAACTCACTTGTTGAAGACTTTCACTTTGCAGAAACAAGTATTTTCTGTGAAACCAGATAAAAAGCTCATCAGTGTGTTCAGGTCGTGTCTTGGTAAAAAAAATAAAAAGTGATTTAACAAAGATGTGTGTTTATGAGACAGCGACTCTACCTGTCGTGCCTGCCCATGTTGGGAGCGTGAGACATCCTGCGCTGGGAGTTGGGGGACCCCATCAGGTGGCTCTTGCCCTTCAGCAGGTGCTTGTACTTGGGGTTGTGTCTGAGCCAGCGCAGCAAAGCCTCGCAGGCGTCGTTGCGCATCCCGGTGTTGGTCAGGCTCACCGCCAGAGCCATGAGGGCCGGGAGGTTGTTTGGGTGGAGCTCCAAACACCTGGATGGAGACAGGAGAGCCGGAGGGGGGGTGAGGCGAGCACTTCAAAGAGGAGTCTGGATGTGACAGGCATTAATTGGGACGGGCCGAAGCGGAGGAACATCAGGCGGAGGGTAATGATTTCAGTCTGGACGAGCTGCAGCAGCTTCCTGCTCTGCACAGGACCGGGCAGCCCACAGGTGCACGGCGGATGATTTGAATTTAGTCAAACCGTCCCCCCCCCTCTCGGTGATTGTTGTGGAGATGGCATGCATGTTTGCAGCGATTTGCCGAAGTTATATCACCGGTTATATCATGTGGACGGTTGCCACTGAGATCTACGCACGCTGGCCTTTTAATTGAGAGTGTTGGACGAAGGACTTGGATTAGTTAAGAGAGACGAGGCCAGGACAAGATTTAGCTTTCATCAAGATAATTTTCCAGCCAGATTTGCTGCGGCTGATGCGCCAACTTCCTTAAAACCTGCATAATCTCAGACAAACTAAATTAGTTTAGTCTTTAGAGCTGCCGGTGAAGACGATTACATAAAGTCTGCTTGAGGTAAGAGTTCACTGTAAACACGCCGGGATGCTCTTTGCACGACAAGAATCCACATTTTTCAGGTCCAGAGTGACCAGATGAGGCTGTTTTACAACTAAAAAACATTTCTGCCTCCTCGGTTCTCCAGAAAGTGTCACAGAAAGTCTCCCAAAGTAACCAGGAGGAACAGAAAAGAGAAGAATAATCCCCCACCGTTACATAAACTTTCCCTGCCACAGTCTGTGTGCCATCAAGAGTTTAAAAAACACGTCGCACTGCAGCAGCATTGTAACACGCCGCTCGCCATCTGAAGTGATGCCAGCGTAGCAGCAACAGGACTAATGCCAGCTAAACATCTAATCTCACTTCATACCGAAATGCTCCCCACACAGATGGAGCGATTACATAACGAGGTAAAACACACACGCCGAGCAAACTACCTGAGGTCTGAGCGAGCATGCACGAGCGCCGAGTGCGCCTCTTGCAGGGACCGGGACATAAATAATTTGCGTTCTTTGTAATCAGCGGCAATTAGATGTTGTTTTAGTGTTATTTATTTACTGCGCAGCACTCAGAGAGGGGAAGGACGCGGCTGCCTCTCGTGTTTTTTTTTACGGTCGACTCGACGGCGTTCACACTCCCAGATAGGTGCAATTTCTGGCGTCGGCAGCGTTATGAATGAAAGTGGGCCACCTCCCATCGAGGACTCTGTTCAGAACCTGTCTCTGTGCAATCACCGGCCATGTGGGGTGTCTCTATTTTGAGAATAAAAATCGCAGAACCTGTCCTCCCAATCGCTGCTCGGTGAACTTTGATGACAGACATTCTCTCGTCGCAGGGTTCCGGCACATTTTCCATTTTCTAAAACTCCCCAAGTTTGAAGGATTTCACAGACTATATTTGACATCTGAATACCAGCAGCTACCATCTAAATAGGTGGTTTTAAAATTCCTTCGAGTCAGAGGATTGTAGCTCCGCGTGCTGCAGCTCATAAACCCAGATACGTTCAGGGCATCGACATTTATATTAAAGCCGCAACAACATCTCTGCACATTATTTTCCCTTAACGCTGCGACTAAATGAGATATTATTTTATAAAGAAAAGGAGCTTAAAATGAGTTGAAAAAGGTCAGAAAGGTCATAATATCAATGCAACCTTGTTTATTTACTGCGTCCACTGAAAAAAATACTGAATGCAGCAATAAAGGTTTGAATTCCTTCTGCAGAAAACACTGTCTGATAACTGCATCACTGAAAACCTCATAAAAGCTCAGACAAATGTAATATTTCCTCATGCTGTCTGCATTTTCTTTCAAACTAATGTGGTTGCAGATTCGTTAGAGTTTAAAGTCCCTCGTTGCAGGATGCTCAGTCGCATGTTGGACTTCTTGCTTTCGAAAAAACACTGAACCTGCGATTTCTCACACTCTGGTGAACGTTTTGGCGCCAAACACCACTAAAAAAACAACATTTGTGTCGCCATTTCACTTAATAGAAAGCCAGATTTTCATATTTTGAAGGTGCAACAGTCTGGAAACACATATTTTATTAATGTTTTCTTTAGTTTTTTCAGTTTATCCAGACCTGGAATTGACTCAAATCAAATTCTTGCATAGAAACCGTGTGTTTGGGATGTGAATACAGCTAATTTTTAAGTGAAAATGTAGCTGCGTCTTTGTTTTTTTCCATTAGTTGCATGCTTTGCTTATCTTTAAAAAGTCATGTTCCACTTATGCTACCACATGTCTTCCTTGAGCACCATCAGCTTGAGTGATTCCTAAGCACGAGTCGGCTGCAGTTGCCGGTGGCTACCTCTGGAGGGAGACGATCGCCGCCTGCTCGTTCTCGTTCTCGGCCTGGGTGGTTCCCAACACCTGCCAAGCCTGCAGGGAGACAAAACGCAGGTAACAGTAAGCAGCAGAAACCTGGAATCCGGACCTGAACGAGATCCAGAACGAAGCGACGGGTGGCAGCGTTTCAGACGAACCGGCCACGGAGGAGCCGAGGAGCGTTTAGACATTCGCAGCTCCACAGAGTTCCCAACTTGGCCGAGGTGACGCCAGGCTTGGTGCAGTTCTGATTAACTTTGTTGGGTTTGTCCTCAGATGCTCTCGGATGCTCAGACGTTTATTATTCAGTGAATATCGGAGATGAAGCGATGAAGCCGCCTTATCTCTCTGAAACGATGGTTTAGGTGACGACTCCTAATTTAATTAGAGCCAAATGAGCTGTTCATCAGTTGACCAGCAGAACATGAGCCAGAGACGTTTTATCACTTCGATATGTAACATCTGGATATTTGAGCATGTGTGTTAAAAATGGAAGATATTTTATAGATAAAACAACAACTTGGAGGTTTACTGATGAACAGGATCATAGCTGAAATTTACTGGAAGGAACTGAGCAGCTAAATAATAATTAATATTGTCTGTATTCCAAGCTGGCAGGAAACGTTCCCACAACATTGCCAAACATCACCTACAAGTTCTGATAATTTTTAAAAGAATAACCAAATGTTTTAAGAAAGTTTTAAGAATATTTTATTTTCCAGTAACGTTCCTGTAAAGTTAATATAATGTTTTAACGTCAACGTTCAGAGGACGTAGATTATGTTCTATGATAACGAAGGAGGAACGTTCTCAAACCAACATTCAAAAAATGTTTTCCAGATGTTCTCGAGGCCTCAGATGATTTTTTATAAAACTTTCCTGTAATGTGATTTGTTAACAAAGATGGAACATTCTTTCTGCAATGTTCTGAGGATGTTTTAGGGATGTCTTTAAGGGAACTTATTGTAGAACATTCCTCGATAAGACCAAAATGTTCCACGATAGCAAAGAACTTTCTCAAACCAGCATTCAAAATCTGTTTTCCAGATGTTCTCGAGGCCTTAGATGATTTTTTATAAAACGTTCCTGTAATGTGATATATTAACGAAGGTGGAACATTCTGTCTGCAACGTTCTGACAATGTTGTGGGGATGTTGTTAAGAGAACACATGACAGAATGTTCCTCAATAAGACCAAAATGCTCCATGATAGTGAAGAACGTTCTCAAACCAACATTAAAAAATGTTTTCCAGGTGTCATCGAAGCTTCAGATGACAGAAAGTTCTCTACAAAATGTAGAACATTCTGTCTGCAATGTTTGGTGAATGTTTTTCTGGATGTATTTGAGGGAACACATTATGGAATGTTCCTCGATAAGACCCCAATATTCCATTTTTGTGAAAAACTTTCTCAAACCAACACTAAAAAAAAGTTTTCCAGATGTTACAGAGGCCTCAGATGACAGAATGCTTCTTTATGCAGAACATTTGAAAACGTTCCTATAATGTGATATAGTAAAGGGACAACATTTTTTTTTTCAGGGAACACATCATAGAATGTTTTTCTTTAAGGTGTTTCAACAGTGAAAACAAAGGAAGAATGTTCTCAATGCAGCATTCAAATAATGTTTTCCAGATGTTATCAAGGTTACCAGAAAGTTCCCTATAAAACGTTTCCTTACTGCCATAAATGAAAAAAGGCGGAACACTCTGGCTGCAATGTTCTGAGGATGTTCTGGGGACGTTTTTATGGGAACACATTGTAGAATCTCTAAATGTTCCCACGGTGTTATATGATAACAAAGGAAGAGCGTTCTCAGTGCGTTAGGACATAACGGTCTGACAACATTGTCAGAACATGTTGAGTTGTATCCTGCCTTTGAAAAAAAATAACATTTTGGGAACTAAAGGAAAACTTCCTGGTGAAACTATTAGTAGAACTTTCTCAGGACAGAACATTCCAGCTGGGTGGTTTTCACTGATGGTAATTTTCTTAGTTTTGTGCATAAAATACCAGAAAATAGCAAAATTCTTGAAATATAACACAAATGATTACAAAATATTCACTTGTTGCTCTATTAATAAAACTGAATTAAACAAATATTTCTTTTAACAATAGTTAAAAAAAATAAAAAATAAATATTGATAGAAATATATATAAAATTGTGACTGTTTTTATGCCTCAGGAGCACTTTTCAGATTTTGCTAAATTGCTGTCTGACTATTTCTGCTGGTCGGCCGATGCGTTGACGCGTTCGTTCTGTAAACTTGTGACAGGAGAGGCGTGTGTGTGGCCAGACAACGATATAACTAACACAAAACCCAAAATGTGAGATTATGAGATCGCTCCTCTGTATTATGTGTCTGTAAGGGCACATTTAATAACCTCTTCCGAAGCTAATCTCCGCAGATGCCTTTTTGTTCGACTTTTTTTGAAACGAGGGGTGAAATTATTTCTGAATGATTCAGAGGTCTTCACAGTGGGGCAATAAGCCACTAAGCGCCCTAGGAGGAATTTTGGAATCGTATTAGTTCCATACACCGCGGGATAATCCTCTCCTCGGAATAACTGGCACATTTCTGTATATTCCAGGGGATTCCGAAAGTACTTTGTATGAAGGCTTTGCTCTTTCAGCTTGCAAAGAGGTCACTTCTTTTGAAATGGGGAGAATACAAGAAAAAAAAAAAAAAACCTGCAGAATGAGCTATTATTCAGCTCGCTGGGCAAATGGAAATTCTCATCAAGAGCTAGTTGAGTATTTTTGCTACAGTAAACAAGTCCTTTAACAAGAGGAGGAAAAAAAAAACAACCCTCTGCCCTCTACAGGCAATCAGGCCTCCTAAAGCTGCTTCACTCAGCCGGTGGCCGGTGATGCATTGTTCCTCCGGAGCTCCTCTCAGCAGGAGCTGCAGTGAGTGGGGTTGGATTTAGCCTCGGGTTTGTGCTGGAAACCAAACCGATCCGGGGCTGGTTGACCGGTACAAGACCGTGCTGGGAAACGTGACTCCGTCCTTCTTCTAAATACATTCTGAAATCTGCAGGATAAATAAACGTGTGTGTGTGTGCGTGTTTGTGTACAAAACGGATTCACCTCTGAATCATGAGGGTCCTGCAGAACAGCTGCTTCCAGCAAAAGCACAGCGTTTGGCAAGTCTCCCTCTCGAGATTTCTTATGTCCCTCTTCAAACGCGTTGGGCAAGTCCTTATAGGGATTATCTGTGTGGAAGTAGTAACCCTGTCAGCGAAAAAATAACAAAAACAGGGACAGTGGCAATGTCAGTGTCTCTCTTCCTCCATATTCAAATGCAAACCAGGCCAGCTGTCCTGTGCAGTTGTATATTTAAGCAAAGCTCCGGCAGCAAGGAATCGATCTTTTCTGCTTCACATCAAACCTGGCCTCGGCTCCCCGGGGTTCGTCTGTTCTCTTTAAATGTTAAACTTTGCATTTTCAAACTGTGATTACCCCGGTGTGTTGCGCGCTTTTGAGCCCGATGACTTTGAAACAGCTTCTTTTTTCCCTTTTTTTCTTTTAGCTCTGCGTCAGGATCAATCAGACGGCCCAGAATCCTGATCTCAGATATGATTTACTGCTTCGCTCTTGTGATCCTGTCCTCTGAAACTCACAAAATATTCTTTTATATAATTGTGATCCTGCACACACACACACACGACTGAATCAGGTCTTATTCCAACGCGGTGTTTATGAATTAATTTGGGATAAAAACAAGACTGATCATGAAGTAAAATGTCACCAATTTGTCTATTTTTGCATGAACTTAAAGGCTTTACAAGTCACTTTGGCATATTTCAGGCTCTAAATAACAAGAAGACCTCCTGCTTGTTAGCCTGAATTCTTTTTGTAATACTTTTAATGTCACACAAACACAAGCTGCTTAGTGTTTTGTTGATATCTTGCTTTTTTCATTAATTTTCCCGCGAACGGTTCACACCCATTGACAATTTTAGATGAATAGTTTGACATTTAGATTGATTAAGTGGTGTTTTTGCAAAAAAGTTAGACGAGAATATTAATACTGTCCTCGTGCTTTAAAGGTGGAGTCAGCGAGTAGAATAAAAGTTCAGCCTCACAGTCTGTTAAAGAAACCTTCAGCTTGTATTCCAGTTTGCTAGTTGTGAGGGCTGAACTATAAAGCAGGATTAATGAGCTTGAACTAAGAAGTTCTGTTCAGAGTTTGGGATTTAAATCGACCACAAGAAGCGCCAACCTTTCACCAATTTGCTCCCTCTAAACAAACAGATTCCCACATTGAGGGAATCTGTTGTATCTGCACACCTAGTGATCTGTACATTAATAATAATCCCGCTAAACGAAGCCGTGCAGTTACAGGACAACGATGTGCATGGTGCTGAGGCATAAGCATATTCAACAAAACACATGAAGTTTGCTTTTGCTGCACGGTTTTGTTCAGTTATTGTAAATAAAGCAGATTCTGAGGCGTTCAGGTGGGAGCTTTTTGATTTTATACAGCACGAACCACCTTTTGCGTTCGGTACGTTTCACGCTGCAGCTAACACGACACAGATTAGAAAATCGATCGATCAGTCTGTCGGTATTCATCACGGAGGATATTCAATCGATCCCATTGATTTTACTTCCAGCATTCCTCGCTTTGCGTCATTTGCAGCAACATACATTTATACCCTGAGATGTTTTTTATATTCCTCACAGCTCTCCATTTAAAAAGACAAACTGTTCGTTAATTGAAGCAGGCGGTACAACATCGCTCTACTTTGTGCAGAAGAAAAGTTAAATGACGCATCAAATACAAACCGTTAAACGTGATTTAAACCTTGATAAGCAAACGCTGGTTAACGTGAATGTTGTGATACCCGTTATCTTTAGCTTTTGTTAACTCAAAGAAAGCCTGGATATGTTGAACCTGCTTCATAGTTCCGCCCTGTGGTGACCCCACAGTGACAACTAGACTCCAGTAATCCTGCTCGGTCACTTTCTCTGAAGTTGTGCGGTGGTGATTTATAAATCTGTAAACTTTAAATTAGCAGAAAGCTATACCACAGATGCAGAGGGTTTTATCTAGTAGATAAATCAGATATTTACTGAACACTGCAGACAGTAAATGTGCTAAACTCTGAGTGATTTTAAACATGTGTGCACAGTTTGATAAAGATATCACATGTCATGTGTGCATCAAATCCTCAACCTGCTGTACATCACATCACACGGTGTAAGTGTCGCCCCCCGTTCGCTCTGCAGCGTCTGAACATCATCGTCATCGGGACTAATTCGTGCTCGACTGTAACATTTTAATGACAGTGACCTTCTCGTGTGGCGACACCGACGAGGGAATCTGCGCCTGCTCGTTCTCCGTCAGCCAGTTTCTTCGAGCCAGCTCTTCCCATTCAGCCTGCATCTTATCCCAGAACTCGGTGTCTGACTGCAGAGAGAAGGAAGAGGATGGATGGACGGACGGATGGATGGAGGGGAAGGGAGGGTAGGGGGAGGCAGACAGGAGGGAGTGAGTGATTAGTGTGCAGGAGAACAACAGCTCTTGTAATTTCCATCATCCTACTGTTGGAAATGTCACGTCTGTCCGGCTTACTGGCTCGCCGTAATGCATGGCCGCCGCGCTGCCGATGACTCATCCCATTTGCATGTTAAGGCCGAGTTTAAAGGAGCAAACACACGAGACTGAAACCTGCTCTCACTTTCAAATTGACTGGCAGCTCTTTGAAAATGTCAATTAATACAAAACAGTAGCTGAATATGAAATACTGCACTGTTTAATGGAGTCCACACTGTAAGAAAACACATCGTAGTTCACTCTGGTGCAGCATCAAAACCTGCTGATTATTAATGTTTTGTACATTTATAAGACTCGGTATAACATCATGTTTCCTATACATAGAAGCATCTGTGCAATATCAGTGTGCAAATCATTATTTTTCACATTCACTGGAATCTGTGATGTTTTTAATGCTGTTTGACTTTTTTACTAAAGTTTTTGCACTTTGCTGCTGCAGAACTGCACATTTCCCTGCTGTGGGTTAATCAAAGGATCATCTTCTCATGCAAATATAATCAGTTTAAAAAAAAAAAGAAAACTCACAAAATGTTAATATTTTCCTAATTGCGCATGTGAAAAAATATCACACCGGGACTTGAAAGTCTCCATTAGCTTGACATTTGAACTGTTATTTGCTGGCATTTCAATTAGCTGGCCGAAGCCTTGAAGGTTATCGAGGATCTCGGTTTAATATGCCAATTCACTTCCTGGAAAATAGCTTCTCATGTCCTGTCTGACGCCGAACCAGAGCCGGCGGAGCGATTCTGTTAAAAGTCATTTAATTAGTTTAAGCAAAGTTGTGTCAAGTTGACTCTAGTTATGCAGCAACACTCTGACACGAGGCTTTAGTGTAACGAGACTGAACAAACAGTTGAAATAAACTCGTGTTAGTAGGAATAAATAGGTGATTTGCATAGAAAGATAACAACGCACAAGTCAAGACGTCCAGAAGAGATTTTACTTGCTAAAAAGAAAGCAGGATACAGTGAAGCTGCACGTTAAACGATTTCCATAAATGATTGTACACTTCAGTAATCAACAGCGCCGACTGCGCCCGGAAAAGCCTCCGCTGTGCAGCTCGCTGTTCTAATCACGGCCGCGTTCGGGTGATGCCTCGTTTCATAACTTAAGAACATCGAAGAAATTGTTCATTTGCGCTTCTGCTCGGAACGCGGACTTCGATCGGCTCGAAGCAAAGCTCGTGAGTGTGTGTCGGCTGCACAGATAATCTGGTTTAACGGAGCTGGAGGCAGCCGAAAAGAAGACAGAAAGCAACTCGAGGTTAATAAATTCATGAGTCAGACGTCGTTTGTTCTTTTCAGTTTGTTCTGTGCGAGGCCACAGGTTAAGTGGAAGAGTGGAAAAAACTGGAAGCTGATTTTTTTATTTCATTTTCAAATGAGATGAAACTGTTGCTATGTTGAAAAAGTTAAATAAAGTGGTGATTTTTTTTGGTTTAAACTCAAACTAGAGTTTGAACTATGTGTTTTTTTTCAAGTTTGAAACATTTATTAGTAATCAAGGAGCCTGATTATCGTTATTTGGATCTAATGTGCGTTCGCAGGAAAGATGAAAATCTTGGTGTTAAAATTGAACACAAACTCCAACAAAAAACTAAATTTTTTCCCCCACATTTATATAAAAGAATCTATTTTTTTGTGAAATGCAGCCAATAGCGTAGTGTTGCGAGTGTTGACTACAGATAGAGAGCAGGAATCGTTCAATAAAATTAGCAAAAATTGGAAAAATGCTAAACATCTGCTCTGATAATCTACCAGACAGACAACTGGTGAAACCCTAGTTTGACTTTATTGTGCTCTTTCTGTAAAACTCTGTGTGATTTTGAAAATATATCAAAATTATACACTAATATGTTTTTCTAAAATGCCCAATTAACCCATCAACAGATGTATTTCTACTGATTTAACTTCAGACTTATGCTCCACTGATCCCCAATCACGAAACAAGAAATGCACCGCTATGCCGACGACACTCCGCTGAGCCTTTCACGAGAACCAAACGAAAAAATGACCCGTTTGAGTTCTTGTGTTCCGTTAAAAACGCACTTGCTGTGTGTTTTGTTTCCTGCAGATTCTTTTCTGCTGTCAGTTTGCTCAGTAAACACACATCCTGTTCACAAACTGAGGCTCCATCGGCGGCTTTGAAGAAGACGTCAGATGTAGTTCTTGTGTCTCTGGAGCTCTGCTAAAATTAGATGCACAATGACTTTTACTGAAATAGAAAGTATGATACGCTGATTTATCTCTTCACACTTTGAATGCTCCCAGAAAAAAATAACGGCTCTTAAATGGTTCTTCAGAGTGCCATCAGCAACTGAAGAACCTCTATATTTAGGCGATGGTCTTTACAAACTATGTGTGGTTCTTTAAAGTACTAAAGGTTCCTCATTTTGTCATAGCATCAAATTAGAGCTACAACTGGACACTAGTTTAATTACTGATGAATCATTTTGTCAATAAAACATCAGGAAAGATTAAGAAATGAGCTGGTGTCTTGTAGCATGTTGTTCTGTCTGACCAAGAACGCAAAATATGAGGAAACAGAACCAAAAATGCTGCAGATTTGTATCTTTGATTGATTTTTGGCATAAATGTTTAACAAGTCCAGTTATTAAAACAGAACTGGGTGGGTCCACAAAGAGCTATCTGGAAAGTGATTTCTTAAAAGAACAATTTTGCTTCTTTAGTGTGTCTTTTATGGCGCCTAAAGGAACCAGTTTTTATGGTTCTTTGAGGAACCTTTGGGTTTATAGAACCTGTCGCTTTTGGTTTCAATTGGCGCCTTCATTTTTTTTCAGTGTGATTTAACTCAAACTGGGAAACAGGATCTATTGCACGTCTCCAGTTTTACCGTTTTCTCTTTGCTAGAACTGATTTAACTCTAAAATACTAAACGACTCATTTTTTTTCTATGAACTTATGTCAAGTTGAGTGAAGTAGAAAGTCATGAAACTTTGAAGATCTCTCTGAATTATGTACTGAGTGCACAAGTTTGGTCGATTTACCTCCAGACTCAAACATCTCAGTTACTACTGGATGGATTTCAGTGAGATTTGTTGGAGACATCTGTGTTCCTGACAGAAAAATTCCTACTGATTTGTGTGATCCACTAAATTTGACCGGCAGTTATTGAATGAAATGTCTTAATCTGTTCATTATTTTGTGGATTAATTTGCCATAAAATGACAGAAAATGGGGGGAAATGTTGATCAGGTCATCCCAAAGCCCAATACGATGAGCTCATATGTCATGTTTGGTCCATATCACAAAAAAATCTACTTCAAGGAGTAAGGAAATGAGAATATATTCAATTTTCAGACCATTTACACTTTATGTCTTTAGAAAAAACAGCTCAAGCTTCATTATTGACAATTATTGTAATGTTTCACAACGAATCAAGCAACATTAATGTCCTTTTTGTTTTGTTTTATGTATATTTCCATCCTGCTTCCCAGCCTCCAGAGAGCAGATCTGGGTTTAATCGTGTCAACAGCAACAGACAGATCCAGCCAGATGCGCTTCTCTGTAAAGCATTCTGACGTCTGCTGGTTTCTGAGCTGCATGTGAGTTATCGAGGGATGAAGCCTGAAATCTCGGCTACACATCTGCACGGCATGTTGCGTGCAGCCTCACCGTATTCACGCGTTGCGATAACAGCAGATCTCGCTGAGCGGTGCCGCCGCTGCTAGCACGAATGACTGTCAGCGCGCTTAACGTCGCGACTGCTTTTCTTGTAAAACTTCTGAATTACCACAGTTCGCATTCAGCTGGCTGGTTCCATGATCCTCTCGCTGTCAGAGGCAAAGCATGATGCCAAACAGAGCAGAACAGCCTCCTGTGACTTGCTGCAGCCAGAAACTCATCAGCACATGACAGCGTTGTGTACAGCACAGTGTGTGTGTGCAGAGATCTACTGTAAGGATGCGTGTGCTGGAGTCAAAGGTCCTCGCATCTCCACACGAGACGAGCTTTTTGATTGACATGGAGGCCGTCGCGTGGCCCCCGGTGCTGGTAATTGCAGGCTGGTGACTCTCAGACAAATTGCCTGGAAGGTGAAGCTGCACTGGCGGTTCTGTCGGGAGGTGCAGCATCAGAGGGAGGCAGAATTTGTATCAGAACCTTTGATTAAGAGTCAGTGTTTGGTTATTCAGTGGAGCCGTGTTAGAGGTTCATGTATGATCAGGAGTATTTACTGAATGTGAGGTGAATGTAGGATCCATCAAACATCCAACCTACGAGCCCGACTCGTCCAGCTGCTGCTCTGGACCCACCATTCCCACAACAACGACGTCAAACACGTCCACTTTGATCAACAGCCACGGTACCAACTCATCGATCCAGATGTGAAACACACCCCAGCTGTCAGGATGGTGTGAAGTCTGCGCTCTTGGGATGATACTATGGGAAGGCATGTCACCCAAAGAGCACCACGGCTCACATCGTCAGACACCGAGATGTGCATCAGAACAACAAAACGCCATGTGACCGCCCCACAGCTCCGTCAGAACCACACAACCTTTGGTAAACAGCAGACGAGGCTCCACTCTGTCCATGATCAACTCCAGCAGGCCGAACCGACCTTCAGCTATCATCAGATGCCTTGTTGCATCATCATCATTTTGCAGTAAAGAAATTAACTCAGCGAAGGTTGATGCTTAGACATCTCAGAATGTGTTGAAGCTTTGTAGGATTGATCTTCGATGTCTGAAACTGACTTTTTCTGTGGTGGAAATTCTAACATTTTCATAATTTTGTACCCAAATGAAATCTCTCACAAGTTGGAAATTCAATGAGATGCTACTTTCAGATGTCTACATCTCTTGAAGTATACGTACTTGAATCTTCAGATTG